GTTAGGAAACAAAACTTCAAGAACACGGCCACACAGCCCGGAAGACCCACACCAGCCACTCAGGATTATCTTTGGAAATGTGTGACAGACACATTATTTGATTGCTGCAGGACACTATCTTGATAATGCTGCATTTCCTGTCTTTATTTGCTGAACCAAACTGCCCGGCCTTAATGTAATGTGTCAGAACTTCCTGACTTGAGTTTCATAATTAGCTAATGGCATTGTGCTATCTCTTAACAGGAACTCCAATGACAACTAAATTTAATGAGAGTGAATTAATCAAGGAAATGGCCATGAAACTGAATGGTAGATTAAGAGTGCTCTCTTTTTCTGTCTCTCATTCTCTCTCTGCCTCTCTCTCTCTCTCTCTCTCACACACACACACAGTAACTAGATATTAGTTTTTCACAATTCAGTGTGGTATAAATAAGCTCATTTATCAACACAATCAAATCCAGAATATTAAAATATAGTAATGGTTCAACTAGAAGCCAGATTCATCCTGTGCACAGGACAAATGTGTGTATATATAAAGTAAAGATAAAGGTGGTTTGCTGCTGATCAGTGAAGAATGAGTCTTATAGCTAAATGTTCTATTGACTACAGGTAGTTCTTGCTTAACAACCATTCATTTAATGATGGTCCGAAGTTATGACAGCCTCAGAAAAAGTGCTTTATGACCTGTACTTGCACTTACAACCATTGCAAACTGTTGTACCACCCCCATGATCACGTGACCACAATTTGGGCACTTGGCAATTGGCTTGCATTTACAACTGGTTGCAGCATCCTGTGGTCACATGATCATGATTTGCGACCTTTTTTGCCAGTTTCCAGCAAAAAATGTCCATTAGGGAAGCTAGATTTGCTTAATGACCACATGCTTCACTTAACAACCATGTGATTCGCTTAACAACATGGTGATTCATTTTACAACCATCATAAAAATGGTCATAAAATCAGGTCTGGTCACATGGTGACTCACTTAACAACCCCACCACTTAACAACCAATTTTCCAGTTCCTATTGTGGTCATTAAGCAAGGACTACCTGTACTAACCTTGAGAAAGAAGAACAAAATAATTTGGCTCTGAGAACTGGGGCTTACTGACAATATCTAGTTGTACACTCCACATTTTAAAAAGGATATAAAAAGGATAGGGAACCTGAAGTCCCAGGGCCATATGTGGATCCCAACTATTTTTGTAGCCTTTACTGCAACTGCTGAAAATGAGCAGTTATGATTTTCCCTCATCATTTCCATTTGCTTTCTGCAGACAAAATTTATGAGGAAAAGGTCACATATACTACTGTCAAGCCCAATATCCCATTGGGGCAGGAAGAACTCATCCTGTTGCAACAGCAGATTAAAAGGGGAAACAGTTCCATGGATGAAGTGGAGAAACTCAAGCACTGGCAAATTGATACAAGTAAACTGGATGCCATTCAGCAGGTAAATTATTCATAGATTTTGCCAATATTTATATTGAACATTGGAGGATAACATTTGAACAACTGCCAATAAATGGGATTTGTATACTGTGAGTGTCAAATGTAAAATCCTCCTTCTGGAATAATTATTGCTATTAAATGTTATACTGGGTTGTTTGAACACTCAGGTAAAGGCAGAAAAATGGGAAGAAAATGGAACTGGGAAATGGGAAAGAAATGGGAAAATGGAAGAGAAAGTAGAAGAAAATGGAAAAATTCTACAACAAATTCTTAAGGAGAGGATACCACCTGAGCAGTAGCCCCAGTGGAAGAAGTTCCCTTCTGATATTGTCCCTTTGAATTTTGTTGATATATGGATCGACAGAAAAGCAATAAGCTGCTGGAGAGCTGTCCAAACAATGGAAGACTGACATTCACAAATATGCCTTAGCCATCTTGTCACTAAATAAGTGCAATAATACTACTCCGTTCTCTTTTGAAAGGGCTTCTGAAGAAAATTATCTGTCATCAACTGAATGAGAAGTGATAGGGAAAAATGCAAGACAACCTGTCTGCACCACATTAATTTGAAGTATTACATCTACATTACCTTATGGCACTTGTACCTTGCCAACGTTTTATTCCCCCGATCCCTCAGAAGTAATTTAAAGCCAACCAAATCATCCCAAATTCTTTATTTTTCATGAGTTTATTCTATATAATTTTTGCTGTGTTTCTTTAAAGTGTTTAGAGTTACTGGCAAGCAGAAATAAAGTTGGGAGAATAAGGCAGAAATATTTTTGCCATTGGATCTAGGCTGCTTTCTGGGAATTATGAAATAAATTGTAGTCCAACACTTCTGGAGGTTATCCTACTTTCTTCTGATTAAAGCAGAAAAGATCAAGGCTGATCTGTTTAAAATAATTACATTTGGCCTTGGGGAGTGGGTAGCAATCGTGATAATGTTTCATTTTTTCTTGGACAAAATTTTCCACAGTTCATTTAATATCAAATATTGAATTAAAGGGGAAAAAATCTTTTAAAAATGATTTCCTTTGCTATAAATTTTATGTGTGGGCTATTAAAAAGCTTGAGTTTTTGAACAGCTCTTTTGAATAATCAACTGGTTTTACTGATTTTTTTCTTGCTCTTGTCTGTGTTCTTGTTTCTTAAGGAAAAAATACACCAACTCAGAGATTCTATTCTCAGAAAAAGACCAGAGGTGACAAAGATGTATGGTAAATTGCATTTTACAAGTATTGAAATAGGCTGAAGAAGGGAATTGTGTTATAAAAGTGGCTTGAGCTAAATTAGTAAAGTCCACGGAAGGACTTCTCTAGCTTTTTCCAGAATGTTGTAGGCGACTGCTAAATTGTACCTTCTTATTAAGTATGATTACCATTCTAGGTGATGAAATATTTCAAGGAGCAACTCATTACTGTGGAAGAAACTGGACTGTACTTTTCTTTACAGCAGGGATCATCAAACTGTGAATCAAGCCCTTCAAATAAATTATAGAAAAATTATTAAGGGAATAACTGAACTTTTCCAGCTGGCTTCTTGATTTATGGAATTCAAATATCAGCCTTTATCTGGACAGTTTCTGGCTTATTCTAACAACTGTTCATTCTGAGAGCTGTTACAGGAACCTAGAAAACATCCTTGTAACCTCTACACTCCAATAAGCAGAGGAGGAGAAATTCTTTGGGGCTTGATTTTTCTGCATAGTTACCCAATTGACTGCATAGTTACCCAATTCCTTTTACAGTTATTGGTACACTGGAATGTAATCCTGTACCATAATCCAGATGGGCAGGGAAATGTTTATATTAAGACAAAAACATATCTCAAAAAGTTTATATTAGAGGAATATTTGAGTAAAAGACATTCTGTTGGGGAAAACTGATTGCAAAACCTTGCACATTTTACAAATATGTGCATCTTACAAAATGGTTTTATTATGTGTAATAAAATGCAAACATTTTATACTAACAATGTATTGTCGAAGGCTTTCACGGCCAGAATACGATGGCTGGGGGAGGGCTTCCGGGCTGTGTGGCCGTGTTCTTGCAGTTTTGTTTCCTAACGTTTCGCCAGCATCTGTGACCGGCATCTTCAGAGGGCAGGAGCACAAACAGGAGCAGTTCTCTCTGTGCTCAGTAAGAAAGAGGAAAGTCTAAAAATCAACAAAACCTGGCTACCATTCCTGAAAAATACAGCCTGCAAAAGGTCAACGAACTCAGCTTAACCACCAGGACATGTGAACAATTCACACAATGAACGTGCTAATCACCCCCAGCAGACACTCGTTAACAACTCAATAGAAAAAACCCTGCCTTACCCCCAGGAAGATACACAC